TCAAAATAAACAAATGAAAACCAATAGCATCGCTGCTCCGCATCGAAACTAAAATAATATAATTATACTAAAATACATAACTACCACACAGAATCTTTGATTATGAAAATCAAATTGAAGTGTAGACTTTAAAAATATGTATTTGAGAAAAGAATTTGACTATAATTATTTTTCAGGTAAATAAGGCTTTTAAACCATACGGTTATACTTGGTCATCAAATCTCCATGGAACTGAATGTTACCTATTTTTTATTTAAATAGTTATGTACAAATGGTTCTACTTTGAGCCGCCTCCATAGTGCCCTTTCGCTGTTATATCTATTCTCAAAAATACTTATTGTGCACATAGTATAAATTAAAAACAGTCATAACTAACGTTATTTAACACTGCAATTGTCGCATCATTTGATGACACACCAAGTCAGACCAGTCAGTAGCAATTTAACATATTTTTTATATAATCACGTATTTCTATAATAAATATTACCATCATGTATATCTTGTGTATCTGTGCAATACGACGGACTATTGGAGTGAAATAACCTAATTTAACCTAATCTTACCTAACTTAACCTAACAGTATTTCATTTGAGAGTGAAAATAAATACAAATAGAAGACATCACTGTATAAAAACCACTTAAATAGCGTTTTGATATCAGAAAGCTGACTTTTTCGATAATATAATCGTGTGGTATCTGCGAGATACAATGATGCCCAAAACCCAAATGGTGACCAAAGTTTCAGGAAAACTGTCACAAACCACGTACCTAATTTTAGGAATAAGAAATTAAACTATTATAATTCAGAAAGTAATAAATTGTTGTTTACTTGAATATCTCCAGAGACTTTTGAATCTGACAACGCAATGGTTATTTCTGAAGCAGTTGGTCTTAGTGCAGCCATTGTGATCATATGCTGACGCCCCCGTTTTCGAAAATTATCGTCTTCACCATCTCCACTTACCTCTGTAGATATGTAAAAAATTAACTCCAGGGTCAAACAAATAACCCCTAGTTGAACCTTCATAATGATAGAGGAAATTTTTGAAAATTCAATAGAACGCTCAAATTATACACGAGTGGTTTAAACAAAATGTACACGAATAATATTTTTAAACAAAATTCACATTCAGTCTCGCCTAAAATACAAACATGTTTTCGTATTCTGCTTTTGCACATGTTATCGTTAGCAAGTATGATCATGTTGTTTTGTACAGATTCACAGTGAGTCAACAATACCAACAATTTTTTAGGTCGCCTTATGCTCTATGAAATAGTGTTGCAATTTAATCTGATATAATAAATGTAGAAATAATCACATATAATAATAGTTAAACTTATTATAAAATATAAAATATTGTAGTATCCCACTGAACTCAATTCATGGAACGCGTATTTTCTATAGTCAGTTGCTTTTAATAAATAGCCACTAGTAAGACGGTGCCATTTTGTGAGCAGATATTGTTTTGTTCGTTATATTATGTTATATGTTATTATTACTTAACCTAACGTTTTTTACGATTTATCAAATATATGACCAAAAACTATATGAAAATAGTCTGTAATTCAACCTAAATTTACGTTATAGCAAAAAAAACCATGACAAATTAAATTTTCATACACTTTAATTAAAATATAAACACCCATTAAAATATATTTCACGTATGATTTCTAAACTATAGTTTAGCCAGACAAAAAAATAAGAAAAGTTTAAAATAATAAAAAGTATAATAAATATACGTGTTTGTAAGTACTATACCTTCTGAGCTACTTGCTCAATTTTCTGTAGGTATATTTACTCTCACATTATACACTATCAATTGGCTTGACTAGTAGAGATGTAATTCTAAATTAGGAAAAAAAATTAAAATCTAAACTACAGAGTAGTATAGTATTATAGTCGTTTTCTGTACTTGGAAATACTTTTCTAAAATAGGTAAATCAAATAATGTTTTTGATTTCTTTTTTAACGAAATCAGGACTGGGCTAAGAATTATTGTAGATTTGTATTTGAATTCACAAAACAGTGTTTAGAAAAATAATATATATATTTTTTTAATTAAAAATTGATTTTATTGCTAATATTTACAAATTACAAACTATACTATATATTATGTACAATAAGTAAAGTTGAGGGAAGATTAACACAGACATGCCAGTAAAGAGGAGGCTCACAGTAGAGCCACCTGTACATCAGAAATTAAGTTAAGTTAGTTAGCATTGAGTAGATCCCTGGACCAATTGCGGTTAAGACACATTTTTAAATTGCCCAGAGGTGTTTTTGAGTGAAGTTTAAGTAGATGAAGGGCTCGAGGAAGTAGGTATTTTAAATATGTATTGAAGTATGTATAATAAATTGATATTGTACATTTCATTTTTAGTAAAATGTTAATATATTTTACTAATATATCAAACGAGTTTATTATTTAACAAATATTAAGAGTGGTTTTGTTATTTATTCGGGAATACAAAGTCGACGGTTCTGTTTACATTTATATAAAACAATAGATTATTTAATTTAATTGGACCCGTTTATTTTCAGTATCGCGAAAGAACTTTGCAAACATTGATTTATAATTTCCAAGAAATTCGGAATCGTTTTCACATTTTCGTTCGACGTATTCATAGTCAATTTTGGCCTCTCTATTATTTGGTTCATTATAAATTCCCAATATGCGGTTTACTTCTTTTGCTAATTTGTCTACAGTTTGAGATATCTTCTTGTCATCGGGCTCATATATTCCACTCAATAATATTAGAACTTTGTTAAAGAATTGGTCATCAATGTAAGTATAATATAATACCATATTCACTTGATATATAAAACCACAATTGAATCTGATATATTAAGCTTAGAAACAATCACACGCTTTTCAAGAGGTGGGGGAAGGGTGATCGTTTTTCGACCGTTGACCCATCGAAATATTTTTCACGTATAATTTCTGAGCAATTGTTAGTCAGACAAAAATAAGAAAAGGTTAAAATACTAAAAGTATTAAAACCATACATGCTTGTAAGTACCATACCTTCCGAGTTACTTGCTCAATTTTCTATAGATATATTTACTCTCAAATTATACACTATCTATTGCATTAATTAGATATGATCAAATTAACTAGATCTCATAAATAGCATCCACGTAAGTGCATAACTTATTAAGTGGCCAATACAATGTCCAAGAATCTTAGGAATGCTTGAACTTCGACCCTGTCAAACAAAAATTATAATAATTTGTTCGTAACCCTCGTACAGTTGATTCATCATTGTATATAAAACTGTTTATATCTGAATATCTGGATTATTTTGCAAAAATATGTTGAAGTTCTAAGACAATAGTTAAGCATTTTTAAATTATTTTTTACAACTTTTAGTAATACTAGTCTTGAGGTTTTTGGACATAATTACTACATTTAATGACACGAAACTTTAGAGTGCTTAGATTTTGTCTATACATTGTTTTCTTTTTTAACGAAATAAAGACTGGACTAAAAACTATTTTAGATTGTAGATGAAACCTGTTTAAATTGCCAGAAGTATTTTGAATGAAGTAAATTAGGTGAACGGCTCCAGGAAGTAGTTATATATATAGACCAAAGTGTGATTGGGGTATTACAGCTAATGAAAACTTCAGTACCAATGAGGTCAATTGAATTGCGTTGTAAGTCTTCAATGAAAGCGGCTTCAAGCGTAATGTATTTGGTCTGTATGGTAGTGGTGAACGGCAATGACAGCGCCACCGTAACCGTCGATCCGGTCAGAACGTAAGAGGTGGAAGAAAGGTAGGGAAAACTTTTCACCAGGCCGAAGCCTTGTTTCAGAAAACGAGGCGAAGGAACATCTTTCGGTACGTAGAAATGAGCCTAAATCCATAGAACGGGAACGGATGCTTCGTAAGTTCCATTGAAGGATTTTATACCATTATAGGATTTCAGTGTCAAGAAGAGATCGTTCCTTATTGTCGATAAAAAAACAAAACTTTTAGAATAATAGGCATATGTGGAGCTATGGCCTATATTATGTATAGAAAAATAAATAATGCAGTCAGATACAATTGTGTGTAAAACGCGTATACCTAAGCATTAAAATGAAAAACAAAATATGTTTTGATGATTCATACCATTATATCTAGTATAGTGGGGTCGTGGCATAGTGGGGACGGGGAGGTCACGGGTCATCAAGAAAATACTATAACTGAAAGTGATAAAACCCCATTGAAATTAACGTTTCGATGCCGATCTGTGGACACTGCACCTCACTTTCTTACTGTGCATGAGTTGGACTGTACTGGTTTGAACTTACTATCCACAGATTTGCATCGAAGCGTTTATTCGAAAGTGATTTCATCCCCTTTTTAGCTTCGATGAGGACTTTTTTTTTGTGTCTGGACCCACGATATTATATTTTAAACTGCTTAACCTATTTCTTCATAAAGCATATTTTATAGGTTCAGAAATGTTATTTGAATGATACTGAAATGAGCGATTGATAATGTGGACAAAAGACAAATAACTGTTGGCACGATACATTTGTTAAGTTTTTACGTTAAGACAACTGTTGTATTTTACAAATACAATTTTTATTGTTCTACTAGCTTATTTTATTATTTTTTTTATTATAAAAAACAAGTGGTTTTTTGGCCAAATGTTGTTTTATTATTTGTCTTTCTGATAGTTTGAGTTTGCTTGCTTGATAGCTTTACCTATTGTTACAAATTTTACAGCGAATACGAATTTTGCATAAAAACCAATAATGATACTTAAAAAAATGTAAAACTAATGTAAACACTAATTTTGCAAGTGTTATTAAAACCAACAAATAAGAAAACGTAATCTGAACTCGTGTTGTACATATGATATCATAGTAAAAAGAATACAGCTATGTAAATGTAATCACATAGGGGAACCGTCGAATACATTTAGATTTTACTGGTTCGGTCCACATAGAACCCATCCAAAATTTACAATAAAATCACTTTAAAAAAGTTGAACAAACTGATTGTATAGTTCTCTCAGCTCAGTTCAGAAAATATATAATTATTATTTTTATTATTTTTGCAGGTGAAAATGATAACTTTATATATTTTAATATCATTTGCGTTGACAAATGTTTCGGCCGCTTTGGGTGATTTTTTAATTTTTATACATACACAAGAGAGAGTAGAAATACATAAATATAATTCAATATTCAACTTATTTTACAGATGAATATAAAGAGCATGTTCTGATGACAAGTCAGTAAAAATATTTTTACATACAAAATAATTGTTTTTTCTTGATTTACTTATGTCTATAATTTTTTTATAGACCACCAGATAATGCACACAAGAGGTAAAATATTTTCAATAATTAAGTCCTAAAATATGATGTCTTTGATTTTTTGAGATCAGAGATAATTAAATTAAATTTTAAATTAAAATATTTCTGAGTACTTTCTAGCTTTTGTAAAGTTAAACCCATTATTTGTTTATTCTAGATAAATTTTTGTATTCGATAATTGAAGAAGCGGTTCTTTCTAGAAAATTTACAATGGGTAATCATAATCATAATCATAAAGTCAAAAACACAATAATAACGATGAAGAGTAATAATGTTGCTTCTTTAAACACCACCAAATCATACAATTTTATTCTACTCGCCACATCTGCTGCGATTCAGCCATTTTATTTACATGGTCTTCACTCAATTTATTATAATAAATCCAAGCACCTTATTTCCGAACTTATAAAACATATTATGTGTCTTCTTTTACTTGATATTCGACATATTATTTATTTTAAAATAAAAAAATAGATAATATAATGTCATTAAATAATACATTTATTTGATGTTATTTTTAGCGGAGTTAGTATTAATGTTTGTAGTACCAGGTAATAATTTGCTTAGCAAAATTTATGGAAATAATTCCACATAATTGTTTGAAATTCATTAAGTACAAAATGTTTTTATTTTAATTTCAGAAGTAAAAAACAAAGACATAGCAGAATACATAGAGCAACGTAAATATTTAGTAGTAAACTATTTTATACATTGAGTATAATCACAGAGTTGCATAATGATTTCTGTCATAATAAATTGTGTAAATTAAAATTTATTTTGTTTTTAATTTTAAAGAAGATAGACCACTAAGACGTAAAACATTTTTTTATTGTAATTTCAGAAGACAAAGAAAATCCCATAGAAAATTACACATATCATAGTAAGAATATAGCATAGTAAATATTATATATATCCATGTAAATTATTTAATTTATTATGAGTAATAGTTCAAAATTGATTTCTATCATATTAATAAAGTAGATTAAAATGTATTTTGTTTTAAATTTTAGAAAAAATAGAGTACCAAAAATTTGTACATGAAAAACTACGGGCTTCCACATGTAAATATAGAAATTTAACATTTTTATTCAATTATTAAATTAGATTATAATACGTTTAGTTTTATGTAAAAACGATTGAAGTTAAAATTCATTTTCATGTATGTTTTTCAACTCAAGGTTTCGATGATCGTTCTAAGCATAGTTAATTCGAACATGGCTACTAGTTGTTTTGAATGTATTTTACATTGATTTGTTTAAATATTATCAAATATAGGATGATTGTTATGTATGAAAAATAAAAATAAAAATGTTAAACGTATAAGTATTTTGATATTTTATATTTTGGTTACAGCTGATGTAACTCCGATGAGCGAAGGTAATCACAATCATTTATGAAATATTTAGTTGAAATATATATATATATATATTTTTTCCGATCTAGAAAATTGTGTAGAGCATGGAGAATTACTAAAAAATCTGGAAAAACGAAGAAGAATGATGACTATGAAATCTACAGCGTTATTAATCCATCATGTAAAAAGTAAGTATTTAGATATTTTTTACCTTTTTATGCATAGGTATATAACATATATAATATACCTAACATAAACTAATTGTAATAATTTTAACTGTACTTGTTTAATCATCTTAAAAAAATTTAAATTTAAAAAAGTAAAAAAAAATGACTTCTTCAATGGTTGTACAAAATATTAATCTTAATACAAAAAAAAATCGTAAATCATATTAAATTACAGAATCGATAATTATCTCAGTAACATACTTTTTTTTTTTAACAAAAGAAGTATAAAACTCACACAAAATGGATACTTGATTGGACTCAGTTCCTTACATATATTCAGTAGAAACTTGACTTTCATTTTTTAATTTAGTTCATTACTTATTATACAACACCAACCACAATGTTACATAGGACAAGGTAGAAAATATTATGATTGTTAGCCGTGTTCTTCCAATTGAAAAAAAAAAAAATTATTATACACTTGAATTGTGTTTTGCAAATGAAGAAAAGTAGCATGAAATAAGTTAAATTTGCATACATTTGTTTCAGCTGGAGAGAATGCACGATTCGGACAATTTTCTGATATATGTAATTTAATAGGATTATACAAAAGTTTGGAGTACCCAAAAAAATTTATAAGACAAGCTAAAGTCGATAGATATGGAGTTTGTTCACTAACAGATATAAACGGTGTCGTTAGCACATACTTTAGCATTAAAGATTTATATATTATACCAGTCTTCAATACATACTCTATGAACACATATTTTTAAAGGACCATTATAATTAAATGTTTTCACACTTTGTAATAATAACGTTGTTAATAAATTTGATGAATGTAAAAATAAACAGTTTTAATAACGATTAATAAAACATTTGTTGTTGAAAATACAACAATAAATCAAGTTCAAGATAAAAAGATAAATATGTTTTTTTTCTTTATATTGTGGCATAAATAATACCACTAAAACATAATAGCTAAACTTTGAACATCCACCTTTTGCGGTAAACGATAACAAGTTACAATAACAGTTCTACCGTTGTAGTACTATTGTTTACATACAAATTATTTTTAAAATTATACCCTAAAGCAAATCTAGCTTAATTAATTAATAAAAAGATTGTTTTTAATTACGTAAAAATTACAATCTGTATAAAATATACAATAATCATTAAATTACAATAATAATAACATTTTTGAGTAAATTACTAGTACATATAGAATAACATTTTTTTTATTGTTAAAGAAGATCTCTACATCAGGATCTTTTTTGGCAGCGAGGAGGGTTATCAGGAATCATGTGGGAGGACGGGCATTTAATAAGAGGGTTTGGACTTAAGACATGGTTGTGAAAGTATTTATATCTAATGATAGCAGTTTGTTTTCAAGTAATAAGGTGATGGTCGTTATTAATTGTTTTGTTAATCGTTTGTTGTATTAAGCGGGGCGTTAGGAAATCAGCAAAGGACTTAGACCAGTTCACACCGCAACCGCTCCTTCTTCTTTGACAAATAACAATGCCCTCTCTAATACAAGGAAAGAATTTTTTATTAAAGTTACTAAACAAAAATAACATTATGGTGTCAGTGGTGCTTACACACAATATTGTTATCTGAGCTAAGAAGATCACTCATCCTCGACCGAAATACACACATAATTTCGTATTTAGTTTTTGTATATGTTATCGTTAAATTGTATGATCATGTTATTTGGTACAAAATTCCTACAATTCGATAATAACCACAATTGTGTACACTTCAAGGCACCTGTTGGGCAAGTGTAGGTATAGACTAGGTGTATTGTACAACAGTTTTTCCGGATTCAATAAGTCAACAATACTATTATAAGGTCACCTATAATCCAAAAAAATGTTTCTGCGTTTGCATAAGTACAAAAATTGAATCCGAAATAATAAGTGTAGAAATAATCACATGTTTATCTCGTCATTCAACGGTTGGGGGGAGGGAGGAATATTTAAATCGATGTCCCATTAAAATACCTTTCAGGTATGATTTCTGATCTATAAATTCACAAGTACAATATCATTATCAAACCGGTAAAGAAAATATTTCAAAACTGAATACAAATGAATTATTTACTCGAATAAAGTATAATTAATAAAGTTAAGGACACGAAACAATTATTATATTAATAGAAGATAAAACGATAAAATATTACAATATTGTAAATTTTAACAGTCGTAGATAATAGTCTGTGTCTAAAAATTTGCTCTGTTCATCATAAACTTGAAATTAAATAATTATTTTACTTATTTAAAAGAATATATAAATGTCAATACATTCAACGTCAAGTATTTATTAACATAGTATAAAAAAATGGTATTTTAAAAATATTCCTCATCCTTATCTATGAGGCGCATAGAAACAAAACCGCTTAACCCACAAAAGTGGGAATCCACTCTAGGTAATATAATAAACTCACTTTAGTATGTATAAATTCACGCCTTTTAAACCATCTGTAAACGTTAACCAACGTAGAGGCCATTTTGATATTACAAACATTTATTTAAGTATCAAAGCCAAAACATATTAAGTGCTGCCATCTACAGGAAAAATCTTTGTGAAGGTTGAGCCATAATAGTTTTGAAATATCATATCATTCTAAAACATTTTATCACAAAAAAACGGCATTACATTTTTTCTGGGTTAAACAGTTTTGGTTTTATGTGCCTCATACATTATATATTATTGTTTACTTGAATATCTCGAAAAATATGGAATTCGATATGGCCGGGGTTATTTTGCAGGCAGTTGGTCTGATTACAGCTGTTTCATATAATCTTTTATGAGCATTATTTTGAAATGATTCCTCTTCGATATCGTCTTGCCCGTCGACCTACTTAGATAAATGAAAAACGAATAATATTACTTATAAATAAAGTTTAACTGAAATATCATAACGATAAAAATCAGCTTCACATTTGTATTATTGACCATGCTGCCTCATAGTTGTCTGCTGTAGTTTCCGAGTTTTGTATTAATTCACCTGCATCTCCGCTTACGATTTCCTCAAGTAATAACATTGTTGAACTTTTGTATTCGAAGTATTTGAGTGAATCATAGCATAATACATATCATGCAATGCAGACCATTCTGCATACTTGCCTGTGAAACATGGGATTTCTAAAGGCTTTAATTTGACAAACGAGAAATTGTCATTTTGATTTGTACCACTATTTTGTCGAGGTATTTGTGGTATATAATTTATTCGTGCCTCTTTTAATTTGTCTTCAGTCTTTGCCATTGAGTCGAAGAACAAATCCACAAACCTATCTCGATATTGTAAGTTTCCAGTACTACCATCTCATGCTTCAATGTTGTTATGGATGTTATCAAACTTGTCCCATAACGTATTTATTTTTTCCATCCGCAACTTCACCTGCGTTAGGTTGGTATTACTACCCGGGTAATTTATAAACGAGTTAAATTTCGTCAGTTGAGACTTTAACTGACCCCGTCTGATAACATATACCGCCAATTCGTTTGCTATCTTCTCATCCATTGCTGATACCTCTTGCCTTGAAGCTCGATTACTGCAAAGTAGCTGGGAGATCCCCACTAAGATATTATTACCGCACGCGCAATAGGCAAATAGGTATCACGAAAATAAGGAATAAAAATTATTATATAGGAAGTAGTATAGTATTTTTTTATGGGAATTCTAATATTCTGAAGACTCACTTACCCCTCTCCTATCTTTTACATTGTAATCTAAAATGTAACGAAAATTGTTAATATAAACGTAGGGGAGTTATGATAAAACAGTTTCCAACAAACTACATTGACCTAATGAGATAAATTTAAACACTAGCACGTTAACTGACAGTGAGTTCATCAAAGTTTGACAGCAGAGAAATTGGAGATATCGATCATATAATAATAGTTAGTAGACACATATTCGTTTTATGTTTCAAACGTATAAAAAAATGTATTTAGAAATAACGTACTACACTGTATCTTTTTTAATATTTGACCAATTCCTTCTAGTAGTAACTCTATTTATCACAAATTTTGTCATGTTGGTACTTTAGGGTGGTAAAATTAGAAAAAGTTCACTTCTTTACAGTTTAAATTTGGAAAAAAAATGTTATTTCAAAAAATTTAACTCTTACTGGCTATGATTCCCAGAAAAATGGTCTGATCAAGTTAAATTTTTTAAGAATACTTATTTGTTATGTTCCTATAGGTCAATAGTATCAAATTTAAATCACACCCATTTCTCATCCCTCCACAGGAGTTGCAAGGTTTTTTGTTTTTTAACCGTAATTTTAGGACCTTTTAGTTGAAAATTTGTCATGAGCTAAAACACATATGTATCCATAACATTAAGCGAGGTGCAATGTTTACAAATTAGCACCAAAGCGTTTTAATTTTAAGTGATTTTATTACTTTTATTTTAACCTTTTCTTATATTTGTGTCTGGTAAAACTATAGATCAGAAATCATACGGGAATGTTATTTTAATGGGTCAATGATTAAAAAATACCCCTTCAACTCACCTCTTGAAATAAGTGTGATTGTTTCTACACATATAATATAAGGTTCAATTGTTATACTAATGTCAATAAAGAATATATTTTTTGGAACATAGGTAACCTTGTAAAATTGTTCACTCGTTTTAATCCAAAAAAGAACGTTTATCTTAAAAAATATAAAGATGACGTAGTTGTACACATGTATCGCAGGTGCCATTATTAAACACCATTTTTGTTAATGTTGACTCATAGGGAATTTGTACGAAATAACATGATCATACATTGTCACGATAACATGTACAAAAGCTGAATACGAAAATGTTACCTATGTTTGTATTTTAGGTAACCACTTGAAAAGCGTGTGATTATTTCTACAATAATTATTATAACAGATTCAATTCTTACACTATTGTTAACGGAAAACATATTACTTGGATCATAGGTGACCTAAATAATTGTTATTATTGTTGACTTACTGCGAATTTGTACAAAACAACACGATCATACATGCTAACGATAACACATACAAAAGCTGAATATGAAAATATGTTTGTACTTTAGGCCTAGATGAGTGTGAATTTGTTTTAAAATATTATACGTGTACATTTTGTTCAAACCACTCGTTTGTAATTTTAATTTTTTTGTCATTATGAAGTTTCAACTAGGGTTTATTTCTTTGACACTGAACATTTTTTTTCATTTATCTACGGAGGTAAGTGGATATGACTATGACGATGATTTTGATAAACAATGGCGTCGACAAATGATTAACAAGGTAGCAGTAAGACCGACTGTCTCTGAAATAACAACTGCGATATCGGATTCAAAAGTTTTTCAAGATATTCAAGTAAACAATAATTTATTTTGTTGTGAATTATAATAATTTAATATTTAATTTTTCTATTCTTCAGACTAAGTACGTCACCATTTGGGTTTTGGATTTTAAGTATGATTGTATCTCGCAATGACCATGCGATAGTATTATGGTACTTAACTTTTTCTGATTTCTGATATTATAACATTATTTAAGTCGTTTTTATACAGTGATATTTTCCATTTGTACTTATATTACTCTCAAATGAAATACCGTCAGGTTTGGCTAGGTAAGATTAGGTTATTTTACTCCAATAGTCGTATCTCACAAAAAATAAGATATACAGGATAGAAAATATTTATATGAACTCCTTAATTTTAAAAAAAAAGCTTAAGTTCTGTGTAGTTATCCAATAAAATACTTGAAGTTAATTGCAAGTAATTAAAAAGTTAATCGTGTATCTCACAGATAATGGGCTACAACT